CATTTTTGGAGAAGGCCCCGCTTCCATCCATGCGACTGTTGCACAGTTTTATGGGCAACGTCGCAAATCTCAGGCGAGAGCCCCATTTTGAAAGGGTGCCGGCACGGTGCCTGCTCTCATCCGTGTAAGACTTGGCCATTTTGAAGGCGAATGCGTGCGGCACCTGTGAACCACAGTTTGAAAACAATCGGCCCTACGTCCGCGCAACTGGTTGAAATTCTTGACGCTTCGCGTATCCCCACCAGCCCATCCTACACCAGGCACTCGAACGAAGAGCGCCGATGATCGGCAGCTGTTCTCCTCCCCTCTTCCTCCTTCTCCTCCGCCTTCTCTTCCTCCTCTCCTCCTCCTCCCTCTCCTCCTCCTCCCTCTCCTCCTCCTCCTCCTCCTCCTCCTCCGCCTCTTCCTCCTCCCTGGTGGCGTATTGGAAGTGTCTTCGAACGTCTTGGTGGGCTCTTGGGCCTTGCGGGCGGGCGGGCGGCGCTCCGCCCGCCCGCGCGCAGAGCCCAAGAGGGGGTTCAAGACGTCTTTTGGAACAATCTTGGAGGAGATCGATCAACGAAGGGTGGTTCCCTAATTACAGCCCCCCCCTCAGGAGCCACGATCCTCGTGAGGGGTGTCGAATTTTAGCCTTCCCAGGAGTCGATCTTGGGCGCTCCAACGCGCCGCGGAACCCCCTGTCCAGGTCAGTGGGGAGGGGGTAGGGGGAGGGGTAAACCCCTCCCCGAAGGGGAAGAAGGAGGGGTGGAAGAGGAAACGCTCTAAACCACCGACGCCCAGAGGGCTGGTGGGATTTGTAAGGCGGGTGTCCGCCGCGTTATGGCGGGAACCACGTGCTGAAAACCATTGGCCATCCATCGCATCTTTGTTGGGACTTTCAAGCTTCGGGGTAATAGTGGACCGCACGGGAGTCTCAAGTGAAATGCTCGTTCAGCCCGCGGACGCGTCTAGTGGTGCGACAGGGAAGAGTTGCTTAGAAGGAAAAACGATGGAGGAGGAGGAGAGGGGGGGTCGAGCTGCCCCAGAAATGGCAGGTCCGTCTTTTGTCACGTATTAAAAGTGTGTTTTTAGATTTCGACAATAACATTACATTTAGAATGCATTCAATGCGCATGGAAACAGGACGACAACCGTTACAGGATTGGAATTGGAACCGGAGCCAGAACGAACAGTTGCAACGGAACTTGGAGAAAAGGCGCCGGAGCTGGTAATACAATTGATGCCTTGTCGTTTCCAGGCCCCACGAAGGGATGATAGGGAGGGCGGGATGATGGAAGGAGGGAGAGAGGAAAGGAGGATGGGAAAGATGAGTGTGTGAGGGTAGGGAAAGGAAGGAAGCAAATGAGGGAGGGAGGGAGGACCCCCGTCGCGCGGAGGAGCGCCCCCGCCGCGACTGCCCTTTCTGCGGGGGCTGGGTGACGATCGCGGCGGCCCTCCTCCTCGTGCTCGGCTTCCGGCCGCTGGCGTCGGCATGCGCCCAGGCGCGTGCCCACATCGGTTTTCGAAGAACGAAGTGTTCATCATCGTCAGAGCCATTCCCACCCCCACTGGGTCAGGGTAAGCTTCTATGATGTTCCAACCTACTTAGACCTTGATCACCAGAATGAATCTCGAGCACCAAGGAAGTACCAACACTGGAGGGTTTTCGCGTGTCGTGCCCTGGGAGGTGATACTCGTTCGACATTGTTTCGATACTTGCCTGGGTGCTTGAAATGACTTCTGAGGATGTGGTCCCTAAGTGCGACTGGAGCAGCATAAGGTAAGCTGCGGCTGAAGCCTTTAGGTCAGCGGGTCGCGCCGCCGGTTCTGGCCCACCACGCTTCGGCGTGACGCGGTATCCTCTTGTTTCCCGTCTCCAGGCATCAGCAGCGTCCCGAGTTTTTGTTCGAAGCTTCCCGCCCCACGAGGCGGAGCGGCACGCTACAACCGCTGGCAGGGCGGCTTGTAGCGTGTCGGCAGGGCCGCCGCAACGACACGCGAAGCAACAGCCCGACCGCAGCTTTTCCCAGCGTGCAGTGGAGGCCCATGCCAACACACGCCCTGCTTGCCTCCAGGGTGCCCTGGGTTTTTTAGGTTTCGATGATTTTGCGATGGAACGCGTGACGTTCCCACCAACAATCAATGAACGTCCTGGGGTCTCAGGGTTGCGTTTCTTGATGGAGGTTTCTTGTGGGCTGGCCTCCACTGCACCCCCTCGAGGCGAAGATCGGTGCCGCGAGGCCCAAAAAGAGACGGCACCTATCCCCCCCTCGGGGGGCATAGGTCGGCCAGCGGTGCCAAGGTGTCCCTGGTGGGGTCGGAGCTTCTTGTGTTTGTCCAAAACCATAAGTGTACAGTGGAGACCCATGCCAAGACACGCCCTGCTCACCACTAGGGTGCCGTGGGTTTCCTGGGTTTCGATGATTTTGCGTTGGAAAACGTGACGTCCCCACCAAAATCCATGGACCTCCTGGGGTCTCACGGTTGGGTTTATTGTGGAAGGTTTCTCGTGGGTTGGCCT